TCCCTACATTAGGGTCAGAGCCTCCTCAGCAGTATCACAGCTATAGCAACGTTAGGAGAACCTAGCACACAACCAGAGACAGAACTTGCATGATTCCTCTGAAGTACAAGCAATCGTTACGTTGTTCAAACTGACTAATAGAGACAAGTCTGTCTGATGCATATGTGAAATCACTCTGCAGTAAGATCCAGAGCCTATGTGGAATTTATACAACAGTGCAAGTCACAGAAAACCTACCAAGAAATAAGTCTTTAATTAAGTCTGAGAGACATACTGCCTTCCAAATAACAAGGTAAACAAAAGAAGTGCACCTTTTCATAATGTGTTTCCATGCACAAGAAGATGGTATAGGCAGTCAGACAGGCGAGACACCCTTCAAGGTAAGACTGGCCCCCAAGTTTTTCAGCTTCTGCATAGAGGTTATTCAGTGTTCGGACAGTCTCTTCAAACTGCTGCCTATCAATCTGCAAAAGAAGTCAAGTTTAGCTGTCATGCCCTGCACAATTCAGAATTCACCAATATCTTCAGATATCGACCTTCATTTCTTGCTTATTTGCACTTCCACACTTTACAGCCACTGTGTTTAGAGCCAAAGTCTCAAGGACACTTTGAGTTACAGACCTGTAGTTCTTCATTAAACATCTGCCAAGTGATTAGAGCAAGTCTGAATTCCAACACAATGTGAACACAAAACAATTAAGAGTAACATAACTAAACCAATGTGCAATTCTATTGAGATTAAAAAAAAGCTTAAGTCACACACAAAGAGATCTGCTAGATTAGAAAGAGCAGTTAGGGAGTGGATTGACAGACCTAATTCTTAATATCAATAATGCCTTGCTGCTGCTGCAGTGCTGGTCAAACAAGCCTTCAACAAACATAAAACAAAGAAATGAGGAAGAGAAGAAAAGTGCACTGAGAAATAGAAAATGTATTAGCAAGGAGTGCTTGTTTTGCTATCAGTTGAAGATATTACATCTGATAGCATTAAACAAAATGAAAGCACTTGAGACAGTACTTGTGAGGCTGCTGAACAGGCTCAGCAGAACTGGCTGGACTCCACAAGAGAGGACAGCGTTAATGCACAACTGTACAACAACGCAGGCTTTATTCTCACACACACAACGAATACATTCTATTTTACTGCTACAAAAGACAGTTGCCTTCCTCAGGATTAAAGAAAGCACAAAACGCCAGCATTTCATAAACTCCAAAGAGAAGCATTTTAAACTATTTTTCATGTGTTTTTCCACTGCAAATTAAAAGTATTTGTTTACCACAATTGATCAAAAATGCCATCTGGGCGACAAACAACACCTTTATGCAAAAAAAATAAACAACATCCTAAGCAGGATATGCCTTTAAACTTTGAAATCATGCCTCTCTCACACTATGCATAGGGCTGTAACAAAAAGAGAGAATTAGAAAGCGCTAGCCGCCTTAAACTTAAAGGCAGATATGAGACCTTAGCATAGCACCCTTGGGGTGCGCTGGAGGTAGAACTGTTCCCAGGACGGGGACACGGCGGAGAAACCCCACCTCCCTCCTACATCTAAAAGGGCGGCCGTAGGTAAAGGAGCGGAGGTTTGTGCAAGAGACCTACCACGTACTCCAGAAAGATGCAGAATGGGCTTAAGGCCGCGCGAGTCTGTCACGTCGCTCGTGAACGCCAC